GCGAGTTTCTTTTGTAATTAATTATTTGCACCGGGCTGACAATAAGCTTGGGCCTAACCCCTGGATTTTTGGGCCTCAACAAGGAGTCCTAGTGAAATACGTGTAAACTGAACATATTTAATAACTGATTTGGGGAGTTCGAAAAATATTATAAAAATCTTAGGGTGAAACCCTCATTTATATTTGTTTTCCTTTCTTTTTTTTCTCCAGCCGCCCCACTTTTTTTCCTCTTCCTCCATCCAGACGTTTCTTCTCACTTCTCATCTCTCTTTCTCTCACCTTCCCGACGATTCTCCTTCCTTATTCTTTTCCTCCTCCTCCTCCTCCTCCTCCTCCTCTCTCTCTCTCTCTCTCTCTCTCTCTTCGTGGCCATATTTCCTCTTCTTCACGGCAATAATAGAAACCATTTATTGAAAAACTAAACGATAATACTGATGGAATACCACTACTGCAAGTCTACATCAAAGTTTCTACAAGTCTTCCTGTCAAAATTGCTTTTAGCTATGACCTTCGAAATTCTTCCAAGAACTCTGAAAAGATTTAATTTCCTAAAGTTCCGACTTTGCCGAAAATTCCACATCGAAATGGTGTTATTATATTCTGAAATTTCGGAATCGGCATCGAAACTGAATATGACTTCTGAAAATTTTCATATCGAAATTCAGAACTCCTATTTCCGATCCATTCCGGCCAAAGAACAGCCCTAGGGGTAGACACCCAACATAAGTCATTAAACATTGATTTTCTCACAGCAGCAGGGGGGAAAGTCCCAAATATGGATCCCCAAAGATTTAGTGATCCCAATAGACGCAAGGAGGTCAGCAGCAAAATTACTTTCCCTGTAATTATGGATCCCCAAATATGTTTCTCACGCAAAGCATCACAAAAAGAAAGAAAAATGAACATCATGATTCTCTCTCACATACAAATTGTTAACTTTTTACCAACAAAATGTTAACCCAATATCCAAACCTAAATCGGACATACTATAATTAAGGGGTTGTGGGTGAAGGGGCCATTTCTACAAATCACTAGCTCTGTTAGCCAACCCAATATTGTTATTTTCGTAAGCATTTGTTTTTCTTTTCTTTTCTTTTCTTTCAAAGTTTGTTTTATAGAAGAGGAAAACAAAAATACTTGGCAAAAGACTTGGACGATGCTCATGTTGTGAATAACTCATTCCCTTGTTGATGGACTTTGGACAAACACAATAATGGATGTGTCTAACACTCACACACACTCTAAAAATAACCAAGCGTGGGCAGTAGCAGAGGGGCATTTCCAGCTTCTCAAAGTGATTTTCCTGCGAGAGGAGGTGCAGCTGCACCTCTTTGCTCCTCTGTAGATCCGCCAGTGCTTCGCCTGTATTTATATATACACACTCTTATCTTCTGCTACCACTTCGCAGGTTTAGGGCATGTTCGGTAACATTTTCGGAGAATGTTTTCTTAGAATATTTTTAGAAAATGAAAACAAGAAAACAAATTTGCATTTTCAGGAATTGAAAATGCGTCTAGTAGATTAATTAGAAAACATCTTCAGAAAATAAAAACAATAAAATTTGTCTAGTAGTAAAATTTGAAAATAATAATATGTGAGTTATTTTCAAGTGTATTTTTGCTAATTCAGTTTTTTTTTAAAAATCTGCTATTTTTTAAAGACAAATTTATAAACAATAAAAAATTGTATAATTTAACAAATAAAAAATTCTAATATTTTTTTAAAGACTAAAACTATCTTATCTCATTTCTTTTTTCTCTTTTTCTTTCTCTCTTCCTATTTTCTTCTTCTTTTCCTTCCCAGACCGTTTCTTTTTTCTTTCTTTCTTCCTTTTCTCTCCTCTCTCTTCTCTTCTTCTTCCTCTCTTATTTTTTTCTTTTCTTCTTCCTCTCTCTGATTTTTCCTCTTCTTCTCCTCTCTTCATAAATTTAGCAATGTACTAATATACCAAAATGGTCTATATTGATTTTCATATCTCCTGCATTGTAAGAGCAATAAATTTCTATTTAGGATGTAATCTTCTAGAATTGGTTAGGTAGCCCTTGCTGCTTCTATATATATCGCAGGCTGTTTGGGGCAAGCAACCCACTAGTACTAAAGCTACTTAGGCTTTTCCTTTTTCTTCCCTAGTTTGCAATTGTTTTTCCTCTCAATTTTTTCTCTTTCAGCCATGACTAGAAAGAAGGTCAGCCTGACCTACATCACTAATGACTCAGCTAGAAAAGCCACATTCAAGAAAAGGAAGACGGGTTTGATGAAGAAGGCGAATGAACTTAGCACCCTTTGTGATATTCAAGCATGTGTTATTATTTATATCCAGTATGAATCTCACCCTGAAGTTTGGCCATCCCCTTTGGGAGTGCAACGCATTGTCTCACAATTCAGGAGCCTGCCAGAGATGGACCAGAGCAAAAAGATGGTCAACCAGGAGACCTTTCTGAGGCAGAGGATTGTGAAGGCCAACGAGCAGCTGAAGAAGCTGAGGAAGGAGAACCGGGAGAAGGAGATGTCGAGGGTCATGTTTCAGAGTCTGACTGGTAAGCCTCTGCAGGGACTGACCATGATTGTGTGAGAATGTGAAGGTAAGGAGTTGGGCTACTCCCCCTATTGCCAATTGATTTTGGGATGGAGCCTCAACTTCCTTCATGGTATCAGAGTAGGTTAGCCCACGTGTGAAAGCCCAACGGCCACACGTGCTCCACGTCACCCAATATGTGTTGTTCACCTGTTAGGCTTGAAAATTCACCACACATGCGGGGGCGTGTGAGAATGTGAAGGTAAAGAGTCCCACATTGGAAAGTTGAGAAACCTAGCAAGGGCTTATAAGGAGTTGGGTTACTCTCCCCATTGCCAATTGGTTTTGGGGTGGAACCTCAACTTCCTTTAGATTGATATGAACGACCTCGGGTGGCTCATTGACCAGAACTTAAAGGAGCTTGTTGACAAGATCAAGACCCGGAAGGAGGAGCTGGCTCAGAGAAATCCAGTCCCAGTCCTACCAACTCCAGCAGCTGCTGTGCATGCAGCTGGAGACCATGCCATGAACCTGAACATGCAGGCAACAAGGGAGAGAAGGGAGGGGTTGGGGTTTGACAAGGATGAAGGAGAATAGGTGTAGGGTGGGGAAATAGGTCTTTTTTTATTATATCTTTAAGTCCTTAAAAGTCATTTTACAAATGAATAAATTTGTTTTTAAATTTTGAAGATAAGGTGGGTGGGGAAATATGACAAGTGGGTGGAAATAACAGCACTCTATATATATATAAACATCCATGGGATGAGAGAAGGGTTGCATGTAAGAAATTTTTTTATTAGTATAAGCATTACCGACGATCATATTGTACAGAAGAGTTTTATCGAGAACTAATTTAGGTGTGTATGAAGGATATACATGCATGTTAATAACAAAAGACAAGATGTCAATTTGCCATTTATAGTATCTTAATAATGAGACAACCATTCAATTTGCACTGAACGATACGTACATACGGTAGGTATACTCCCCATATACAACTGTACTTAGCGGAACGAAACGTAGTCTTACAAACCATGGACCCTAAACCCTAATGGTACACCTACCATGTTACTGTCATATTACACAGTAAAATGACAATACTTTTTATCATTCATCTTTTCACCTAGCAATTTTCCACAATGGTGATAGAGATAGTCATGGATAACGATGTTATTTATCAGTGGATGGCTACAAAACTAATTAATGACCAGAGGTTGTGTTAGGCTATAAGAAACCAAAATTCCTCAAATTGGAAGTGGGATTTTTCCACTTTGTATATGTTAACTAAGAACGACTTTGAAATGCAAGAATTGTAAACTATCCTCTACAATGCACTTTGAAAAAAATGCAAAGAAGACTCTGCTGACTAATAACTATGACTCATAATCATAAATCACATGCAATCAAATAATCATAAACTCCATTTCAATTAAATAAAAACATAAATCATCATCAATTGGAAAATTGAGTTTAAGACTTACTTGAAGATTGGAAATTTTGAAAAATAATGGTCCAGTACCCGGTGGCAGGTGGTTTGGTCGGGAATGGGGGTTGGGGTTTGAAGATTTTGGCTGAGGATTTGGGGATTTGGGGTTTTTTGTTTTTTTGTTTTTGGGGGTTGGTTTAGAGTTGCATTGGGGGGAGTTCTGTTCTTTCTTTTTTGGTATGACCTGGCTCAAAACGGTGTCGTTTGGGTCAGGTCATTAAAAAATAAAATAAAACACGCCTGGACAGAAAAGTGGAGCAATAATCCCCGAATACTGCTAAATAGTAAAATATTCACACCAAACGACATGAAAATTAGTGGCAATCTTCACTTGCTTTTAGTCCACCAAATGAGGCTTAGGTTGAACATCTTTAATATTAATTAATCAACTATTAACCAACTTGACATACACTAGTTTTTATTTATATAATATAAGCGATATTGAAAATGGAGGGAATCAAAACTAACACTTCGGATGCATGAATAAATTCTCTTGAACTACAAGCTCCTCACAACTTGAAACTAATTTCGATTCAAAACAAGTTGCACCAATTGTTTCGTTGGATTCTAATTTTGACTCGATGCCACAGTGGTAAAATATTTATTAATATTACACTAAAAATGCATAACATGCTATGTTTCTGATTCAAATTTATCTCAATTATTTGTCTCCTATTTCTTTGGAGGGTTGGTCTGGTATTTTGTTCTCGATCGACCACTGCTTTTATTTCTACTAGCTGTACAATTCATGGAACTGTGTTAGATTCCAATTTTTTAGGCACTTTCTTTAGATTTGATCCAGTATCTCACTTGAATTACGATGTTTAGAGTTCGGTTCTCGTTTCCTCTCTCTAAGATCTTTAGAGACATTTCTTGTATATGACCATTGTACAGAATCATTTTTCAAGCCTGGGCGTCCTTTGTCCCAAAAGAGCTCGAGGGGACAGCAACTTTAGTATTATATGTTCTGAAACTACCTGAAAGAATACTATGTGATGGGAATGTTGAGGTTGAGGGTCACAAATTAAAAGGACTCTCTATGCTGTTAAAAGATTTTAGTACACTAGAACAAAAAATCTCCTAGATCTAATGTGCTACCGTATAGGTTACCACCGTCTATTGTGATACTTTATTTAACAAGCTGAAAAACCAAGCTGCTGTAACATAAATTGATTAAAATTTGATGCCACACAGAGTCTGTGATGGGATTGCTGCAGATTGCATATCAAAAGGCAACCTTGGTTTTGAGATAGATCAAAAGGCAACCTTAATTGCTTAAACCACGATGTTGATTGCAGATATGGGGAAGATCTGGTGAAGTAACTTAATTTTATAATTCATTGGTACCAAATTGTACATTAACCTAAATAATTCTTTCATGTTTCATCCATACTGATTTGCTTCTTGGAGCTAACATAAATAATGATGCCATGAAAAGTATGCCAAAGTGTTCACTTATTAACTTATTTTAGGAAACTCAAAACCCATTAGTTTGAAGATTTTGAGAACCAATCCAAAATGTAAGAATGAACGAAAAAATTGAAGCATGACGATATGCATAATTTGTATTTAATGTTGACGTGAGTCTCCTAATTAATCAAGAAGATTTATTTCCTTGATTAATTAAGGGATTTACTTTTTTGTTGTATATAGTTGACAAATTATTGTATAATTAGAAAATACTATCCTAATTTATTATTGTATCTATTTCCTTGTAAAGCCCTCGTGTAAACTCCTATATATCTCCTTATAGAAAAGAATACAACTTAACATAAAATATTCAAACAATATTCATATTTTAACACTTAAACGAAATCGAAAGCTTTGATAAACAGAATCAAATACTTGATTACATTGATTACATTGATTCACAAACTAAACTAGATACAACTTATTTGAATAAAATAACAGTATGATACACTAAGAAATGCAGACAGGCATAGCTCCTTAGGACTTTCCAGCAGGGTTTGCAGTTAAGGTTTGGCACTCACATTCTGAGACAATGCACTTGTGGATTTATTTATTTTATTTATTTATTTATTTATTTTATTTTTTTTGGCAAAACAGTAGAGACTCATAAGAAGAACAAGGCACAAACCCAGGATATATACAACAATAAGAACACACCCCCGAAAGGAGGTTCTTGCAATAGAGATTGTAACAACAACAGCAACTAAGCACAAGTATTACAAGATAGAAAACAAATATACAACTTGAAACCCAGCTAACAAGGAGTTACAGATGAGGAGGACCCTAATTCTGCAACAACTAGTGCTTTAATAAGATCAAGACAGAGAACAATCTCTCGGGACACAGGAAACACCCCAAGAGTGGACGGCATAACCACTCAACTTTCACTAGGACATTCCAAAGAATATCACAGCATCTCCTAATCCCCCTTGATCCCCAAGCACAATATAAGTAGATCCACCAAAATCAATAGCTCCACCTCCAATACAGAGAGATCTACACGAGATCTACCACAAAAGCAGCAAATCTAGCAAGATCATCCAATAACCAGCCCCAAAAGATTGGGATACAAA